CTTGGAAGCAAACAAGATGTCCTTTAGTAAGTGAACAGATAAATAAACTGTGGTACATCCAGACAATGGAGTATTATTTGGTGCTAAAAAGAAAGGAGCTATCAAGCCATGAAAAGACATGGAGGAACTTTAAATGCATATTACAAGGTGAAAGAAGCCTATTTGAAAAGGCTACATAATGTATGACTCCAATTAGATGACATTCTGGAAAAGGTAAAACTATGAATACAAAACAATCAGTGGTTGCCAGGGTGGGAGTGGGGAGAGATAACGGGGCAGAACACAGAGGATTTTTAGGGCAGTGGAATTACTCTGTACAATATTAAAATGATGGAAATATGTCATTATACTTTCTTTAAACTCATAAGATGTACAGCACCAAGAGTGAACTGTAGGGTAAACTGTGACTTCGGGTGATTATGATGTGTCAGTATAAGTTCAGCAATTGTAACAAATGTACTACTCTGGTGAGAACTGTTGATATTTTAGGAGGCTGGGCAAGTGTAGGGGCAGAAGCATAGATGGAAAATCTCTCTGCTTTCCTCCCAATTTAAACTTAAAACTGCTCTAAAACGTAAAGTCTTAAAAAATTGACTCAAGATTCATTATAGATAGAATTACCCCCTTCTTGTTCCAGAATACTTAGCATTGAGTTACTTTGGGAGACTGGGTTTTGCAGAACAAAATTGGAGACCTTGTTTGATGCAATTAGTGGGGACCACACCTTTGTTGCTTTTCACTGCTATATTAAATTAAACAGGCAGCTAGAAAGTGCCAGCCAAGGCCGGATGTCATGAGGAGGGGTAGGTGGCAAAGGATGACAAGGAGATACGTTAATAAGAGAAGTCACATTCAGAAAAAGGCAGGGCCCATATAGATCACGGGCGAGAATGGGCATTACAGAGGGTCTTATAAAATCTTGTGTTACATTGTGGAAGATATTCTCTCTCCTAGGAACCTGCTGGTTTCTTAAAAGGCCTCATTTACATGTCTCCAATCTGGTTGTAGTAAATGCAGTGGATAGTAAAGGTCACAACAAGGAAGAGATTTTAAGTATAAATACCACAAGAACACCATTTTGTACCTTTTCTTAGGGGAAACAAAGTAGTCTGAAGAGGAGTCTGTATGCATAAAATAAGTAAACAAACCAAAAATGAATGTTAAAAGAATTCATACATAATTTTCTCTGATAGAAGTTCTGACTGGGGAGCACCTATTCCCACAGGCAGATTTCATCTGAGATGCTACGTATAAGGCTATTCGTAGGGATGAGCATTATATCAGTTTTTCTGAACCTTTAACTCTTTTCTTGTTAGTAAATCTATCGACAACAAGCACGGCACAGATCCAGGGGAATGGCTGGAGAATGATTGTAGGATCAATAAAAGGTTAGACATACCATTGTTATCAGTAGTATCTGCCATTTACTTTCACCTGTATTCCTCATAAAAACTTAACATCTTTTAAAAATACTGTCTTTACTATGTCTTCTACCCACCAATAGCCTGTGGCTTGCAGTTTATCAGTTCAGTGCTCTTGGCTTCAAGAAACAGAAAACCCTGACTCTTAACTCGCTTACACAATAAGGGAATGTGTTATTTCCTGTAATAGGATGTCCAGAGTTCGAGCAAGCTCCAGGCACAGTACAATCATGTGGCTCAATGATGTCATCGAGGACCCAGGTTCTTTCTGTCTTTTCTCTCCCATCCTCTGTGAGTTGGCATCGGCCCAAACTGGTTCCCTTCATGGCTGAAGACGGGTTGTGGCAGTGATGCAGGCAGGCTGGCTCTGAGCACCCAGAGGAAGGTCCTGTAGGACCAGCCAAGATGGTCCTTGGCTTCATGCAGGATAGAAATCAAACGCAAGCTGGAAAAAGTGAAAACTGAGTTTATTGAATAGTGTGAGTGACTGGTAAAGAAGAGCAGACGGAGTGACGGGGAGACTCAGAAAGCAAAGGAGAATGAGTCTCGTCATCGCTTGGGATTAGGGGTTTATATTGCAAAGGGGTCTAGGGTACATGTTCCTTTAAGAATCCAGGGTCGGGTCTGATCAAAGGCAGGTGACAGGTGAATAATAGGTGTTATAAATTACCAAAGGTAGGGGTATTGATGCCAGCATCAGCAGAGGTTTGTCTGAAGCTAATGTCCTGGAACGTGGTCAGGATCTCGCTCTTCTTTGGTGTTATCGGGTGTTTGGAGGCCTAGGGCAGAACTAGAAATGGTTAACTTTCTTGTTCCCTCCTTGAAGTGGAAACATAGCTTCTTTGACTTATTCAGAAGCAAATATAGAACATGAGTAAATGGGGCTTAGCAGAAAAACAGCAGAGATGGAGTCTTTCTTTTCTTTTTTAGATTTTTATTTATTTATTTGACAGAGAGAGAGGGAACACAAGCAGGGGGAGTGGGAGAGGGAGAAGCAGGCTCCCCACTGAGCAGGGAGCCCGATGAGGGGCTAGATCCCAGGACTCTAGGATCATGACCTGAGCCGAAGGCAGATGCTTAACGACTGAGCCACCTAGACGCCCAAGACGGAGCCTTTCTAAGATGGAATCCCTTCAGGTTCTCCACCTCAGCAATTTGGGGTATTATGTACACGTACGGTCTTACCTGAGGGAGAAAGTGAGACCATCGCTTTCATTCTCATTGCAGCTGTATTGCGATATAGTTCCCATACCATGCAATTGTCCCCTTATTGTGTTCCTCGAGTCCTGCAGCTGTCACCCCAACCAACACATTTCATCCCAAAAGGCAATCTCATATCCATTAGCAATCATTTTCCATTTCTCCATAACCACCCCCGACCCCAGCCCTGGGCAACCTCTACTCCACTCTCCATCTCTATGTATTTGCTAATTCCGAATGTTTCGTGGAAATGGAATCACATAGTATGTGGTCTTTTGTGACTGGCTTATTTCACCAAGCATAACGACCATAATGTTTGTAAGGCTCATCGCCTTTCTTGGATTCCCCCCTTTTCAGGAGAATGAAACCTTTCCTGAGATCTCTCAGCAGGCTTGTCCTTAAGACCCTTTATCTAAACACAGCTACATGTTCCATTTTTAATCCAATCCCTGGCACTGGAGGAGGGATTACTATGCGTATCGTAAACTGATGTAACCCCCTCCTGGCAGTATACTCTTCACCCAGATTTCCCAAATATTACCCATAACCTATAAATTATTTACCATTTTCACATTTACTGCCCACCTCTCTGATTTCTGGTCTCCTTCTTAAAAGGACCTTTGTGATTACGCTGGACCCACCTGGATAATCCAGGATAATCTTCCCATCTCAAGAGCCTTAACTTAATCACCCCTGCAAAGTAATAGATTCCAGGGGTTAAGGACATCTTTAGGGGGTTATTATTCTCTCTACTACAGTGTTTGGTGTTCAGCACCAACACTTTTGGTGAAGGAGAGGATACAAGCCTGGGCAGAGGGAAAAGCAGAGCTAGGTTGTATCCGACAGGCTCCGCTGACCCCATGAGGATCTCTGGGGCTCTCAGAGATGTTTTACTTTGGGCCAAATGACCGAGCTTTTGAACTCCCTCCTAGATCAGTCCCTGGATGTGGGCCACCTCCAGAAGGGTGTGACATTGGTGAAGATGACTCACTGGATTGGAGGCTGTCCCTGGAGGGGACTGCTCCCAGCAGCTGGGACAACAGGTGGTACATCTCCATGTACAACACTCGATGCTGGTAGTAATGTCTGAAAAGAGCGTTTGAGAAGTTTCCATGTTTGAGCATCATTTGTGTCCTGTCCTTACACATTTACAAGCTACATGCTTAAGATGCGGCTTTCACTATAATCCCTCATAGGATGGGAGTGAGGGGACAGTGTCCCTTTGGGAACGATTCGAGGGGACAATCGTTAGCTTAACCAAAGGGCCAACGGTAGCCTTACTACAGGGAAAATATTAATAGCATGAGTTATATAACTTCAAAACTAAATGGGATACTACGACAATGCATTAAAATGTCAGTAAATACGTGTCCTGTAATGGGTACAGTTAACTCCTGGAAGATGAATTTATGACTAATTTATGACTTAGTCCTATTTTGATGCAGATATTTCCCATTTGTAGGTGACATGTGTGAGTCATAGGCCCCCCTGTTTCTATCTGTACAAGCATGCAATTTAAGGAGAGAACACAAGGTCTCTTTCAGAGACCTGCCATGCCCCCCTCCCCCCCCCCACTGCTCCACTCCTCTTTTGCATATGTAATTCTGAGGTTTTTATTCCATGGAGATGTCTCATCTTTTCTAGTTTCATAATCCATGCAGAAACCTGGGAGTTGTTTCCAGATTTCTCTGCTGGGAACACAACAGGCTGACATCACCATCCCCTTTCACCACCGTACTGGCCACAGTGAATCGAAGACTTCATATTAAAGAAAGAATGTAAACTAACAAATATTCCCCAGTGCCCCCAGGAGCACTTTTCAGTTAGGGATGGTCCTAAATGAGGCCTGTGATGCTATGCATGTCTGTGTTTGCCCTCCATGGAGGGGCTGCCTCTCTCCAGGGGTGTGGTTTTCTCCCAGGCAGTAGAGACCTGCTGCCCTTCTTCACAGGCTGTCTGGGCATCTGCCTTGTGATGCCTGATCTTTCCAACAGTCCATGGCTCCAACTCAAAATCAAGTTTTCCTCTCCTAAGTTTTAAGCAAAAAACTTCTTTCTAGATTTTCTGATTGGAAAATCATGGTACGTTCATCCAAGCAGAACTTTTCTCATTTTTGGAAACCGCTGTTTTGCTGAAGCCCTAAAGCTTAGTCTGCCCATTGGACCATCCTGCCTGTAGTCCCAGATTTTTCTAGCCTTACAGGGAGGCAGTTCAGCAACTCATTTCCAAACGCGAATGTTCTAAATAGTTGGGAAAAGAGAAGTGAAAATAACTGTCTCCCATACCTTCAATGTTACAACATTTTATAGCTAGAAGATGTGTTTTATGATGATCTTCTCACTCCCCTAATTGTAATTACAGACAGCCTCGGGAGAGAGGGCCAGCAAGTTCACATGATCTAGTGCGGCCCAGTGAGGATTAGAAGCTGGCAGAGTATGCTTTACTGCACCATAACCTTTCTGGATGTTCTCGTTTCCTAAAACGTACATGTAGCGGAAGACAGGAAGGACTCATGTCTGTATGTAGCAAACGGGGAATTTAGAATGCAAGGTGTACGGAGGCAGGAACCATGAGAGGTGCGGTACACGAGCAATCCCCAGCGCCGAGCACATACTCCACACTCAGCAAAGCTGGTTGATGGAATGACGGAAGGAAGAAGGTAAGAAAGAAACCTGGATTGACTGGGTTAGTCCCCAAACTAATGTGGGGTGGGGGAGGGGAGAGGTCCTGGGGGGAGGAGGACGGAATTGGAACTGCTGCCCGGTGGTCAGCATGGGCCCTGGCTTCCCTGTAGCTCTCTTGCTCTCTAGAATTTACTCACTACACCGCGGCCACAGAACCGGATCCCATCATTCCCCTGCCTGAATCCCCTCAATGCCTTCCCATCACATCAGTTGCCCCTTACTCGGAAAGGCTACCTTAGACTGCCCGATGTAGAATAGTTCTCTCCCACTCGCTCCCTTTATATCATGCGGTTCGTTGTTTGTTTGTTTCTTTCGTACTTAGGATCTGAATTTGCCCGGTTCGTTTATTTTTCCGATTTAGTGCCAGGTCCTAAAACAGTGTTTGCCTTGGTAGGCTTCCCCTCAAATACTATTTAGCGACAAGCGGATGGGTGAAGGGACGCACGGATGAATCAAGGAGCGAAGGAGAAACGCAGGCGGCCCCCAGGCGGCGGCCCCCGCGCGTCCGAAGGCGCAGCGGAACCCGAGGGCGGTGGCGCGGTTTCCCTTAAAAGCGCGGGGGAAGCTTGAGGGAGCACACAGGAAGGCAGGGCGGTGAGCGGGAGCGGCCCGGGTGAGTGGCGCGGGGCCGCGGCGGGGAGCGGAGCGCGGGGCGATGGGATGGGGCTGGGCGGAGGGTTCCGGGGCGCGGGATGGAGCGCGGGAGCCCGCCCGGGCCGGGGTGGGAGGACCCTCGGGGGCTGCGGGGGCCGGGTGTCGGGAGGGTGGGAGCCGGGGCCCCCGGGATGGCGGGGTCCCGGCTGTCACTCTGCGAGTCAGCTGGCCTGGGTTCTGGGACCAGAGCTGTTGCTGCCTTGTGTGACCCTTACTCACTTTTCCCCTTTGGGCTTCGGCTCATTTGCAAAACGGGGAGAATCGTTTTTGATCGATTGATGGATTGATGGGTTCATTCATTCCAGGTGCTTTACTAGGTTGTGTTTGCTAGAGATGCATAGACAGCGCCTACCCGTGAGGGGTTCAGTCTAGTGAGAAAATCCCCACCTTACAGGTGAGGAGGGCCCAGTACAATTAGAATTTGGGAGTTCTTTTAAAAAAACAAAACACGGGCTCCCTTCTCGGCGGGAAGCCTGCTTCTCCCTCTCCCACTCCCCCTGCTTGTGTTCCCTCTCTCGCTGTCTCTCTCTCTCTCTGTCAATTAAATAAATAAAATCTTAAAAATATATATATAAAAAAACAAAGAAACAACCAAAAAAACCACAGTAACAACCAACCAGCCGGCCAACCTGCTTTACAGAGGAGAGATGTTAATTTGAACATATAAAATTTAGACCTTAACTGAGATTGAGGAATACGAATTCTGTTGGGTACTTAGAAGGAATATGCATTGTTGGCTCATATATTGCCCATTGTCATGACAACTTAAATCCAGAAAAATTTACAAAGTGCATTCACAGTTCTTTCAGATGTGATCTTTTTAGCCAAATGACTTAATCAGAGCAGGTGTTGTATCCTCATCTTACTAATGAGTAATGCGCATTCACAACCTTGTCAGATGTGATTTTTTACAGCCAGCTGAGTTAATCAGAGCAGGTGGTGTGTTCTCACTTGACAGGGAAAGAGAGTAGAGGCCAAGTGACTTACCCAGGCTCTCACTGTCAGGAAGTGATAAAGCGACTCTGGAATCTAGGCCTCAGGATCCTTGCACCGCTGCTCATTTCACTGCACTAGATTGCCTGCGTGTTTCCACGTTTTTATGCACGAACCGCTATTTTGTGACAAAAAGGGAGTTCCCCTGGATCATGGATGGCCTGTAAACAGACTTTTATTGACTCTCAGATTGTTCTCTGACAGTACTGGCGTTTTTCCCCCTTTCTACCCTTGCCTTGGGTGATTTTTATGTGCACTCAAACTTGACCTCCTTCACACTGACGAGTCCTAAATCTGTATCTTCTACCCAATTTCTCCTAGCTTCAAACTGCTAGATCCAGACATCCACTGATCATTTGAATGTCCCCTTGGATATCCCACAGGCACCTCAAACTCACTGTCTCAACTGCACATGCTACCTTTCTCCACAAACCTACGCTCCAAATCTAATGATCGAAAGCCTTATTCAGTCAGTTGCCTAAGTATAAACCTTTCTTGGTTTCTCCTCAAGTGAATAAAAAATTAGGTTTGATGAAGGGTGGACAGTCGTGAAGGAATATGCTAGGTTGAGTATGAGGAAATCGAAGTAAACGGGAAACTTAGCAAGGCCTGTCTGTCAGGATTCTTCTTGGCATCGCTTTGTCTTCAGAGATGATGCTCCTCTCTTCTGGGTTTAGGGAGGGCACTTCATAGATGAGGGTTTAATGACCTATTTCAGGGAAGTAGGGTCAGGTGGGGAGGTCATTGTCTCAACCTCCTTTAGCTTAAAATATTCAATATGCTAGGTTGCCATATTTTGCGGTAGTATGTCCTGAACCCTATGACATTCAGCAGGTAGCTGTTGAATGGCTCTTATGTGCCAGATCTTATTTTAGGCACTGGGGATACAGCAGTGACCAGAACAAAGTCCTTACTCTTGTGGAGTTGACGTTCCAGTGGGATAAGCTCATAAACAAATTAGCAAATAAGGATCACTAAATGATAAGTGCTGTGAAGAAAACAAACAGAATAAGGATCTATATTGTCACTTGGTTTTTTAGTAAAGTTGTGTGAATTTACTTTGCTTACAGGAGTGCATGAGTGTGTCTGTCTCCTTTTATTTTGTCGTTAGTGAATGTGGCCATGTAAAAATTTATTAGTTTTAGAGGCGAATAGTGCTAATTCTTTGTAATTTGCATGTCTTCGATTACCTAGGAAGTTGAACTTTTTCACACAGCCATTTGCATTTGCCTTTTGAATTTTCTGTGCACGTTCTCTGCTTATTTTCCTATTGAGGGGCTAGTGTTTTCCTCTGTTTTGAGTAAGCGCTTTATAGTACTTACTTATTATTTAGTCCTTTATATATAATAGACAAATACTCTTAAACAGTGGTATGGTGAATGTAGGGAGAAAGAAAAAGCAGGAAGCCTGGAATTCCCTTCTCTGCACTTCTCCACTTCTAATACAGTCAGGTTCAGGTGAGCAGAGAGGGAAGAAGTGAGTTTAGGTAGAAGGAAGTGAAGAAAGAAAGAAGAAAGGCAGGTGGGCAGTGAGAAGATGAAGTTGATGAGCCTGGAAGGGAGCAGATGGGAAGAGGCCAGAGAAGTGGCAAGAAGGAATAGGAATGAGGGAAGGAAAACAGGACATGTGGATGGAAGGCAGTCAGGGGGCCTCTACACAGTGAGTTGGGGTACTTACCTTTTTCTTTTTCTGCCCCTGTTAACCTAGCAAATCCTTAGGAGAAGATGACCGTGTTCTTTAAAACACTTAGAAATCATTGGAAGAAAACGACGGCTGGGATCTGCCTGCTGACATGGGGAGGCCATTGGCTGTATGGAAAACACTGGTAAATATCTAACAGCCCCCATTCCACCTTCACCTCCAACAACAAAACCATCTGAAAAAAGGGCCTAAGGTCAAGATCTTGCTCAGCTATGCTCGTCTCTGTAAAACATTGTGGTGTAAAAATAAAATGTGAAAACTACAAAGACAAAGGCTTCTTGTTGTAACCAGTTCTGGAAAACTGTAACTAGCAGTGCTATTAACACTGGATGACAGGAGACATAGACTGTAGTGGTGAGAAGCTGAGGAAATTGAGAGGGAAGTCCACTCCCACGTTCTTAGTAGACTGGGATTGACCTCCTATGCCTCCTTGCAATTTTATTCCTTCAGTTTCTTACTACAGTCTCTTCTGTTATCACTGCTGCTGTTGGACCCTGACTGAAATTGCTTGTTCCACCCCCTGTGACTTTTCCACATTTATCCCATTAGCCTGGGTTAATTTAAATGAGACAAAGACTTTCACACCTTTTGTTTGAATAAGGAATTCAACAGCCATGGTTTTATTAGCTGCCTCCAGGCATGAAGGGAGAAGAAAGTGCCAGGGCTCCCTTCTGGTTTAACATGGTAATAAGATTTAAAGAAAGTTTTTGTCTAAAAATTATATAAATAATTAAGAGAGCCAATTAAATTGTCTTCTTTTGGGGATTAAGGGTTACATCTTACGTATTTAACAACACCCTGCCTCCATCCAAGTGTCTTAAATGACTGGTTTGTTAAACAGAAAACAGCTTTTGTAAAGGAAGTCTCCACAGTGGAAAGGAGATTCTCATACTGATACTTTTGTAAACTCAGTTCATCTTTGCCTCTGTCAGAGATAATCTTAGGATGCAACATGGTGTCGAGTTTTTTGGCAGCTGTAGATTAAAGGGAACATGTCCCCCTTTTCCCATCTAAGTATTCTCAAGGCTCAGTGCTTGAATTCTATTAGCTAGCATGTAAAGAACAGACCTGAGAAGCTTAAAATTTGTAGTATATATAAAAAAAATAGGTGGAGAGAATGTTTTGACAAATGGAATATGAAACATATAATGTGTGCCTTTTCTCCCTTTTCTAACCACCCTTGAGTCCTTACACCTCCTGCCACGTGGGAACTAGGATTCCCTTTGCAGGAGCCCCCAGTCCAGGCCACAGCTAATGCAAGCAGGAAGAACCTCCCACACCCTGGGGAATCACTGCCCATTTCTGCTACTAGGTGAAGATTTGAGGAAATAACCGTGTACCCTGTTTAGGATGTCTTGTAGATACCCTAATAATTAATTAGATCTGAAACAGCTTGAACAGAAATGCTGTCAGAGCCTGGAGGCCTCATTTTGCTCTGTCTCCACCCTTGACATTCAAGGGTACATTCAGAATGGAAACCCTTATTGTCCTGTTGCTCTTCCTTTTCTCAAATTTTTCTCCTGTGTTCTGTAGTACTATGTGGTCTTTTTGTTTTAAAATTGTAGGAGAAAACACATAACATAATTTGTCACCTTAGCCATTTTTAAGTGTACAGTCAGGAGTGTTAAGTATATTCCCACATTGTTGTGCAACAGAGCTCTAGAATGTTTTCATCTTATAAAACTGAAACTCTATACCTTTTAAACACAACTCCCCATTTCCTCTCCCCGCCCCCAGCCCCTGGCAACCACCATTCCACTTTCTGTTTCTTTTAGTTTTACTACTTCAGATACCTCGGATAAGTGGCATCATACAGTATTTGTCTTCTGTGACTGGCTTATTTTACTTAGCATGATGTTCTTAAGGTTCATTGACGTTGTAGCACACGGCAGGCTTTCCTTCTTTTTAAAGGCTGAATAATATTTTGTTTTATGCATGTATATAATCACATTTTCTCCATCCATTCATTGTTTTTTTTTTTTTTAAGATTTTATTTATTTGAGAGAGCACATGAGAGGGGGGAGGGTCAGAGGGAGAAGCAGACTCCTTGCTGAGCAGGGAGCCTGATGCGGGGCTCGATCCCGGGACTCCAGGATCATGACCTGAGCCAAAGGTAGTCGCTTAACCAACTGAGCCACCCAGGCGCCCCATCCATTCATTGTTGATGAACGTTTGGGTTGCTTCCATCTCTTGGCTGTTGTGAGTAATGCTACTACAGTGAATTTGGGTGTGCAGATATGTCTTCTAGATCTTGTTTTCAGTTCTTTTGGGTATATACCCAGAAGTGGGATTGCTGGGTCACAGGGTAGTTCTAATTTTTTGAGGAAGCACTACACTGTTTTCCGTAGTGGCTGCACCATTTTACAATCCCTCCAACTGCAGGAGGCTTCCAATTTCTCCACATCCTCACCACCACTTGTTATTTTGTTTTTGTTTTGTTTTGATGGTGGCCATCGTAATGGGTATGATATAGCATCTTCTGGTTTTGATTTGCATTTCCCTAATGATTAGAGATGTTGCACATCTTTTCAAATGTTTAGACACCATTTGTTTATCTTTGGAGAAATGTTCAAATCCTATGCCCGTTTTTAAAAACCACGTTCCTTGTTTTGTTTTTTGTTGTTGTTGTTGTTGTTAAATTGTAGGACTTCTTTAACCCATTATGAGATGGTTTGCATGATTTGCAGATATTTTCTCGTGTTCCATAGGTTGCCTTTTCACTCTGTTGATGATGTCCTTTGATGCCCAGAAGCTTTTAAGTTTGATGTAATCCCATTTGTCTATTTCTATTTTTGTTCCTAAGAAATTACTGCCAAATCCAATGTTATGAAGCTTTCCCCCTGTGTTTTCTTTTTTTTTTTTTTTAAAGATTTTATTTATTTGACAGAGAGAGACACAGCGAGAGAGGGAACACAAGCAGGGGGAGTGGGAGAGGGAGAAGCAGGCTTCCTGCCGGGCAGGGAGCCCGATGCGGGGCTCCATCCCAGGACTCCGGGACCATGACCTGAGCCGAAGGCAGACGCTTAACGACTGAGCCACCCAGGTGCCCCTCCCCCTGTGTTTTCTTCTAGGAGTTTTATAGTTTTAGGTCTTATATTTAGGTCTTTAATCCATTTTGGCCCTTTCCCCATTGTGTGGTCTTGGTGTCCTTGTCTAAAGTCAGTTGATCATAAATGTCAGGTATTTATTAAATCACTCATTCTCTATTCTGTTCTGTTGGTCTGTATGTTCGTGCCAATACCACCAGCTTTTAAGCTTTGTAATATGTTTTGAAATTAGGAAGTATGAGGCCTCCAACTTGGTTCTTTTTCAAGATTATTTTGGCTAATTGGGGTCCCTTGTGTTCCATATGAATTTAGGTTTTTGTTTTTTTTTTTTTTCTGTTTGCAAAAAATGCCACTGAGATTTTTGATAGGGATTGCATTAAATCTGTGGCTCATTGGGGTAGTATGGACATTCTTCCAATCCATGAATGTGCATTTATTGGTGTCTCTAAATTCAGCAGTGTTTTGTAGTTTTTAGTATATAAGTCTTTCACCTTCTTGGGTTAAGTTTATTCCAAAATATTTTATTTTTTGGTCCTATTGTAAATGGGATTTTTTTCTTAATTTCCTTTTTGGATTGTTCATTGTTAGTGTTTCAAACAATGGATTTTTATGTGCTGATTTTGTATTCTGCAACTTTGCTAAATTGGTTCTAACAGTTTGTTATTGTGTGGAATCTTTAGGTGTCATCTGCAAACAGAGATAATTTCTATTCCTTTCCAATTTAGATGCCTTTGATTTCTTTTTCTTGCCTAATTGCTCTGGCTAGGACTTCCAAAACCATGTTGAATAGAAGTGGCAAGATTTTGCCTTGTTCTTGATCTTTGAGAAAAAGCTTTGTTTCTAACTGTTGAGTATGGTGTCAGCTCTGGGCTTTACATATGTGGCCTTTGGTTATGTTCAGATAGTTTCTTTTAATATCTTTTCTCTTTTATCTATATATCCCCAACCTTTCCACATGACAGTCTTCACGTTCTTCTTTTATATTAATCTAGTTTCTTCTCTGAGAAAATCTTACCTGTGGCTATCTTGAATAGGAGCTGCCTTGGCCCTTCAAATGGGTTGTAAGGTGGGGTTGGCATTCTCTTAACTCCTCAGTACCTATTCCAAACCATTAGTCTTCCATCTTCTTATAAACATCTCTTTTCCTTTGAGGCTCCTATCTGGCTATATCATATAACTGTAAACCTCCCAGCTTTCTGGGATCTCCTCTACTTTAGGCTTCAGTGCCTGGTTGACCAGTGTCCCTTTCACTCTGAGTCTAGTTGTCTTCCTGAGTGCCCTGACTCTAGATGTGAAAGCCCCATGTAACAGCTTGTCCTTTACTTTCCCTGATTTCATCTACTCCCGGGACTTTCACTACTACTCCGCACTCCTGCAGCTCCATCTACCCTTGGTGGCTGAGAACCTTATCATCACTTGCCCCTGTTCCACTTCTGAAATCTGGAGCTCCAGTGTCCCAGTCTCTCATTTCAGTCTGCCATTATTCGTTTCCTGACCTTAGGCCTCTTTTTCAGTATTACCAAGAGTCTTATCCCTTGGGCCCTCCAGTTCCTTCCAAATCTATCACTCTTCCCTGCTTTCTTCACTTTTTTCCTATCCTAATTTCTCAATCCAACACATCAGACACTTCTCAGCTGCACTTTTCACATGTCCTCCCTGCCTTTTCAATCTCTCATTCCTCCTCCTCTTCACATTTAAGCCGTTTGAATAGGTTTTGTCTGTTTCCCAACCTCCTACTCATTCTCTATCCTATCCCATCTTTGTTAGAATCATTCTCACCAGTTTTATTTCTCATTCTTTTTGACAGCTCAGCTTTAGACACCGTTGACTGTCCTTGAAGTACTTTTTTTTCACTGGCTCCTGTTCTTCCTCCTCAATGTCTGGGTGTTCGTCGCTCTCATTGTGTGCTCTTCCCCTCCACTCATGCCCGAGGGAGGTGGTTGTCTAGGACTCTGCCACAGGCTGTCTTCTCACATTATGTCCTCTCCCTATGTCATCTCCTCTACTCACAGTGCCTGCAGTTTCCAGCTGTCGTAGGCAAATCCCAGATTCATTTCCATAAAGACCTCTTCGGAGC